ACGATCGGCCGAACCTGCGGACGAGGCAGGCAATCAAACTGGCCCGCCCGCCAGGGCCTTTCCCTGCACAAGTGGTGGAACAAGTTTGGGAACCACTGAGGCAGATAATTACCATGGTGTTTTAGTTAGCACTAGCATGAACTAATTCTGAAGGGATCTGATGTGACTTGATATATTAACTTTAATGTAGCTAAGAAGAGTCATACACTGTGCATGTAAAAGTACTTCAGCATTTTTAATTTTTTTTCTAATGATCATTTCCATAATTTAAAAGGAAAATCAAGAATAATTAACCAATCAAAGCTTCTGCTGTCTCTTGCATATTTACCAGTGAATTTGAGCCTTTGCTAGCTGCTTAATTAGCATCCAAAATGAAGTAGATTTTACCTGGATACAAAGGATTGACAGATTGTATATGTGACAAATTCTAGCCATACTGAAGTCATCTAGTGGGCTAAAGTGTAGCATGATAGAATAATATAGGACATTTACATGTTTTATATGTTCAAAGGGCTTTACAAACATTAACTTAACAATCCTCACACAACATCCCTGTAAGCGAGGTGAATAAATATTCCCATTTTACAGATGGGAAACTGAGGAAGAGAAATGAAGTGACTTCAGTAAAGCCATACAACAGCAGTCAGTGGCAGAGCCAGGACTGAAATTTTCAGGGTTTGATTCCTAGCCCTCTGCTCTGCTCATTCCTCCAGCCCACACTGCCATTAGAGCGAACTGAGCAGGGGTGGGCCAGTGTTTCTGTATTTGCGACTCTTATCTATCCAACTATGTCCTTTCTTTACAATTCTATATTCAGTTCCAATTACAGCTGCAGCTTTGAATTAATGTGTCATTATTGGCCATGATATATTTTATTAGAGCAACACAAAAGCCTTGCGCTTTTAGTAAGCCATTTACTAAACATTGTGCTTGGGTAAAGCAATATATTTATTTCTAGGGTTTCATTGCTGAGGAAGATCACCAGAATCTAATTGCAGGATCAAGGCTTTAATCTATTATTATTTTATTATTTGTACTACAGTAGTGCCTAGAAACGGTAGCCATGGATCACAACCCCATTGTGCTAGCTGCTGTACAGATACAGAGCAAAAAGGCAGTCCCCTGCCCCAAAGAGCTTACAATCTACGTAAAGCAATATATGTAAAATTGTACAGATGTGACTGTATCCCTTCCCACCCACCCGACCACCTTACATTACCTGGTGCCTAAGGTCCCAGTTCTGCAGTGAGCACCACATGGGCAGGCCTACTGACCTGAGCCTTCAAAACTTGTACATAAGGTTAAGATTTTGTTACGTTTATTTTTAGTAAAAGTCACAGATAGGTTGTAGGCACTAAACAAAAATTCACAGAAGCCCTGACCTGTCTGTGACTTTTACTAAAAATAATGGAGGGAGGGAGGGAGGGAGGGCTGGTGTGGGGGAAGGAATGACACCTGGATCCCCATGGAGGGGACTGACAGAACCACAGCCATGGGGGGCACAGCTCCGGCTCCAGATCCTGCCCATGTTGCAGGGCAGGGGCACACAGCCACGACTCCAGCCCCAGCTAAAGCCACAGAGGGAGAAGGTAGGGGTGCACAGCTCTGACTCCACCCCTGGCAGAAGCTGTGGGAGGAAGGGGACACAGAGCCCCCACCAGCCCTCGCTGAAGCTGCGGGTCAGGGGCACACAGCCCTGGTTCTTGCTGCAGCTGCGAGGGGGGTGTCACAGCCCCGGCTCTGGACAAAGCTGCGGGTTGGGGATGCACAGCCCTGGCTCTGCTCCTACAGCGACAGCTGAAGCCAAAGTCACAGAGGTCCAGTAAAGTCACAGAATCCATGACTTCCCTGACCTCCGTGACGAAGTCGTATCCTTACTTATTACTCCTGGGGGAATTCTGTGCCAACAAATTAAATATTCTGCAAAATTCTGCGTATTTTATTTGTCAAAATAATGCAATATAATCACGTAATACCAGTGTCACGTATTTTGTTAATTTATTTAAACTACCTTAACAGGAAAAAAAAATCACAATAACTGTTCAGCATTTCCTAAACACATGAAAATTAAGTCACAAATACTTGATAACCAATACCCTGCATTTCAGTTATAATCCTGGATTTTCATTTAAATTACATTACAGAACACCAAAATAAAAGTGAAGTAGAATGTCGCTCTAAATTGCTCAGACTTTCACACATGGAAGTCATACAGGTTTGCTAATCATTGTCCTCCATTTTTTTTAATGGGTAAGTAAAATAGATCCTGAGCTGTGATCTAACCCTATTGTGCCACCCTGGCGCAGGAAAAAAAGCCAGAAAGCACATAGATCTTCCTAGCTGAGGATTCCCTTACTGTCACAATAAGGGTCCTTTATACCACTCTGGCAATGTAAAGGAGCCTTAAAACTTTTATACGTTTTTTAGGCTCCTGTGGGAATTGACTAAGAATGGGAACAATTCACTGACAATGGGAACATTAGCAGCCTGCCTGCTTAGTTGTTACATTTCTGTTCTGCCTCAGCAACAGAGCCTGCCTCACACAGCCCTACCCATCCAAGCTGGAGACACCCCAACAGCATGGGAGAGAGAGAGAGTATCTCTCGCTGGTTCACACACAGGCAGGTGCCCAGCCCCGCCCCCTTAAGGTCTCTCCACAGACGCTGAATCAACAGGACTGCACACAATGCAGAGAGTTAATCATGACTTTGCATCTTTGCAGCATCTGGAGATTAAATTGTAAGCTCTTTGGGGCAAGGACTTTGTCTTCCTATGGGTTTGTACAGCACCTAGCACAATGGGGCCTGAGTCTAATTTGAGTTTCAGAGCACTACAGCCATATAAGTGCTAAATAACCACAACTGGTAAAACACATGCAATGTTTAATTTGAGCACTTGCAACATCTCAGATGAAGATCTGTAGTCTGTTTGCGTGTGCATACATGCAAAAGTTTTGAACTTCTAACTTCTGCAACATGCTATATCCATTTTAAATATTCAAACTTAATGATGTGTGTCAACAGATAACTTGTGTTTGTACAAAGCAGTTTCCCAGGCTACCAACATTTTATGTTTGATAATATAAATAATAAAATCCATATTGTCTTGTTCCAGCTTGAAACCTGAGAACACATTATTATTACTACTCAGTATATCATAATTATTTTTAAAATATGTAATTCACCCAAGATTAATTTTCTTTAAAGTATACCCTTGACCTATAGCTGAACTTTTGTGCTAATATGTTCATTATTTTTACATTTGAAAAACAAATAGTCAAGCTCACCTTTTTGCAGACAAAGTCACCAGGTAAATACACAATGGATTTCAGTCTCAGCAGCATGTCGTAAATCATTTGAGTATCACACCCCTGTTAAAAATAATTAGAATTTTGCTATACTTGTGCAGTACTTGAAATGATTACTGAGAGGTTTGTACTAGGAAGCAAGAGATAGCAATACAGGAATGTATTGAGCTAATGCTTCAGGTACTGAGTGTGGATTTAAAGCATCATAAAGGTCAATTTCTGGAGGGTAGAGAGAATGCTGGAGGAACTATTTGGGTACCTTTAAGGCCCTTATCATGATATTAACTGAGTGCCTCAACCTCCATCTTCTCTGTGTTTTGAAAGAATAGTCTTTCTACCTGTGAGATGTCTGTATATGTATGTGACTCTCGTGCTGGTCTAATTAAATGTGTTCAATACTATGGTTAAAGCTGTGGGCCAGATTTCTGGTGCATTATTGCTCAGGTGGTATAAAAAGGTGCCACCATATGGTTGTTTTTAAGCAAACATGGTCCCTTGTCCGATACAATAGATTTAAAATGATGAGTGCAATGTTACTAAGCGGCTTTAAACAATGTTTATGGGTGAGGGGGAAGCACTGGGTCAGATTCTGCTATTGGTACAAACCTCTAGTGCTGTAGTGTCTTCAGAAGCTACAGGAATGTTCTGTCATCAGCTACAGAGATTTGTACCAGCAAAGGATCTGGCCTGATCTATTTAACCTCTCTCATAATTTCCCATGACAAATGAATTAGGACTAAAACTATTGTGTGTCATGACTTTTCCTTATGATTTTTATTAATCCCATGGCAAAGACCCAACCTTAACAATCATTTATCACATATGTCCATGAGACAACTATAACTACTTATAGTAATAATCATTAGAAAGTCCATTTGCACACAGTTATCAAACAGTAATATCCAGAGTGTCACAGTTATTTACCTATACCTGGAACAGGTAAGAACTGTGACCTCTCACGTAGTACTGAGTACAAATGGGCAAATGACACTTCCTAGGGAAGATTATTTTTCCTGCTACCTCATCCTTCTGCCACTTTGGCTTACTTATACCCCCAAACTGACATGCAGACTACACCACCATTTGCCACCTCTGAATCTGGCGGATAATGTCAGTGTAACTGCACTAAAATAACAACACAGTATCACTCAAACTTTTTTGGCTTCTGCATTGGATGAAGAGACAGGCACTTGGCTCAATCCAACCATGAGCTTCCATTCACTTGGCAACCTCTTGACCTTATTTTGCCTTTAATATAACTAATGAAAAAAATGTCCTAAATACTGCAACATGTGCAAAACTAGATTTTATAGCTCACAAGAACAACATGTTGCTCCGTTCTCCTTTAAAACTACTTGCTTTGAATAAGTCAACTTTATTGACAATGGCAAAGTTCACATCAATTGCAATGGCTAACTGCATTTTGGTTGGCATCTGCTCCAGTAATTCTGATTCATCTGTAAGAGAGAAAAAAGACCCCAAAATTCCTAATTACAAAGTGGAAATGCAAAGGAAGAAGGAAAAAGAGCAGCAGCAAGGGAATTTTAAAAAAATCAAAATGAACCTTTCCCTTGTACAGAAGAATAGCCTAATAGAGTTAAATCTAACATACATGAGATCTAACAGAGGAATATTCTTTCAGACTAACAAATTGTGCAATAAATTAAACTGCTTCTTCAGAACGCCAAGCAGAACATATTACAGATGGATAAACATATGAAAACCCCTTGGTTATTTTTAGACTCCAATTATTTTATATATAGAAAAGAGAATTCCCAAACTGTAGCTATTGTATTACAACAGGTGCTAATCCTGGGTGTAATCTAATTTCCAAATATTCAAGGTAGCCTTGGAACTACCTATGACGACTACCATAAATGAAGACTTGCTGTGCTGCTAGAAGTTCAGGTTAGTGATCCGTCTTTAGACACTACACTTTTACTGCATGAAAGTACAATATGTAATAATTCAAAACCTCTTAGAAAACACTTAAATCCACTGACACCAGTACAGATTTTTCTCTTAATAATATGTGTGTTTCTGAAGGCCCTACAAAACAGCACATTGGGTTGGCTTTTTTGACGCTAGTTAACTAATGTGTGTCTCTCTCACCCACCCCTAGACCATTCAGAAGAGATCAAATGAGATCCATGTATTCCTTGGATCTAAATAGAACATTTCTGCTGTGAGTCAGTGTGTGAGCAGATATGGTATAGTTTGAGAGTCATCTTACCCAGCATTCCTTGAGAGTCCCATGTGTATTCGTACCACCTTCGAACACGATTCTGAACTACTTTTGGAATTGTATAGGTGTTCATGTAAGAGACGGTGTTATCCATGTTGGCACGGTAATAATTCTGTCCTGCTGTAGCTGCTCCAATTACATCCCGCATCTGCAAATATCAGTTATTACTACAAACACTTTTCAGCGTTAACAGTCTCAGTTTTTAAGTGATTAGTCATTTTGCAAACACAAACACTTTTCTTTGTTAATACACCTCTACCTCGATATAATGCAACCCGATATAACACTAATTTGGATATAACGTGGTAAAGCAGTGCTCCGGGGGGGCGGGGCTGTGCACTCCAGTGGATCAAAGCAAGTTCAATATAATGCAGTTTCATCTATAATGCGGTAAGATTTTTTGGCTCCCGAGGACAGCGTTATATCGAGGTAGAGGTGTATAATTGTATATGGTATAATGTACCATTAGTGGTAATGAATGGATTGAAACTAAGTTGCATTAAATAGTTGTGTTTTCACCTGTTTTTATTTTAGAGGGACATTGACAACTTAATGTAGCCATGTTAGAAGTAGTTTCACATACCATAGCTACCCCTAAATGCCCCTGCCAGTGTTTGTGATTTTTATATTTTTCTATTTTAAACATACTTTTCTCTCTCGTGTTTCAGAGTTAAAGTGAAAAATACAGTCTAATGCATAAATTAAACAAAGTGTAAATCTTCCAGTTATAGGAAATCTGTGCTATTTGTAAGTAAAATATTTTCAGATGGAAGCATGATTTTAAAATTGAAGTTCTTCCTTTAAAATTCAATAATTAGGCCCCACTTTGCTTGGCATGCAATGGCAAATCAGAACTGAAGTTAAAAATGTAACACCAGTTGATGCCACTAGACGTAAGAGTTTGTCAGTGATTCCCTCGTTAGATATTTTTTGATCTGTCATAAAAATCAACTTGGGCTGAACATTGATCTTGAAGGTCTTAGCACAAGAGCACAGTTTAACATTTCTACAAAAAGAGTCACATCTCTTTTCAAAAATTTAAATGTGTTAATGTTTGAAAACACCCTATTCTCTAGGTACAGTTACATTTTTGATAGAAGGTTCAAATATCATTGTGATGACCAATTACTAATATGATTGTGGGCTAAATTCTGCTGTCACGCTGGTCGAGGTCTGGAGGAACTCTACTGAGCTCAATAGGAATTACCGTATATAGCCCAAGACCCCCACATTCTCCCCATCCCATTCCTTCCCACCTTATCTGGGGAGGGCCAGAGCAGGATATCTCTGGCCTGGCTGGAGCTGCTCTGGCGGGCCAGGCAGTGCGGCCACAGCCTGTTCTGGGGGGCGGGACCGAGCGGCACGGCTGCAGCCTGCCAGCCCCGGAGCTGCATCTGCTTCGGAGGCTGGGGGGAGAGCAGTGTGGCCAGAAACGGAGAGACTCTGGCCCCGCCTCTTTTCTTCTCTGCTGGCTGTGCTGCCTCTCCTTGCTCCCTCTGTTGGGGGGGAGGGGCTGTATCCCACCTCTCCCTCTCTATACCCCTTCATAAGCCGACCCCCTTCTCTGGTGCTTCCCTTTTTTACTAAAAAAATTTGGCTTATGAACGAGTATATACGGTACTCTGGATTTACACCAATGTAACAAAGAAGAACTTGTCAAGTAACTTTAAACCTCTTTGAAAACACAGAAGTTATCCACTGACTGAATATTCACGTATCTTTTCACTTATCTATATTTAGGCCTTGATCCTTCAATTGACTCTGCACTGGTAGAGCGGTCCATTTGCACAGAGTCAACTGCAGGACTGGGGCTTTAATAAGGGACCTAGGTTAGATGAAAAAAATATTAGGTTTGCAAACTAGATACCCAAAGATTTGGCTGTTTGGCCACAATTTCTTCAAGTTTATCTAATCATCAGGCTAGAAATCTTATCTGAAGAGGTGCGCTGCTGCTATTTCCAGTGTTTGCTGGATGCACAGGCATAGTCTTTCTCTTGATATTTTAGTATTTCTTTTCCCACTCCTTGTGTTACCAGGAAGTTAGAGGTATACACCCTGTTATTTACTTGAGACTTACAGACTTCTTTTACTTGATTTGCTGAACTTTTTCAAATCTTGTGGTCAATAGAAATACAATTAAATGCAACAGTTCCTGTGTTTGCCTTTTCATTTGAACTCCCCATCATACAGGGATTTCTGCAAGAGTCCAGTAGGACTCACTGCCACATGTAGGAACTGTAACTGTTGTTCTTCTGCAGCCAGGAAAGTTCTTTTCAAACCTTTGGATATGAAATGTAACTCCAATAGTTAGGTCGGAAAAAAACTTTTGTTGCTGCCTATTACTTTGGAAATTTTGCAGATTTTTCTTTCAGAACTGGGTGCAAATGAATTGAAAACAAGAACACTGATTTAATCTTAACCACAGGTTATCATGTGCCAAATTTGCAGCTGTAACATATGGCAGACAGTAAATCCCTCATTTCACGGAGTTCATAGGACTTCAACGGGTAGTGATCAACGGCTTCTCAATGGGTAGTGATCAACGACTCAAATGTCTAGTTGGCAACCGGTATTAAGCGGAGTGCCCCAGGGGTCTGTCCTGGGACTGGTTTTATTCAACATCTTCATTAATGATCTGGATTATGGAATGGATTGTACCCCCAGCAAGTTTGTGGATGACACTAAACTAGGGGGAGAGGTAGATACGCTGGAGAATAGGGATAGGGTCCAGAGTGACCTAGGATTGGGCTAAAATAAATCTGATGAGGTTCAACAAGGACAAGTGCACAGTCCTGCACTTAGGACAGAAGAATCTCATACACTGCTATCAGCTGGGGACCGACTGGCTAGGTGCCAATTTTTCAGAAAAGAACCTGGGGATTACAGTGGATGAGAAGCTGGATACGAGTCAACAGTGTGCCCTTATTCCCCTCTATTTGGCTCTGGTGAGGCCACATCTGGAGTAGTGCGTCCAGTTTTGAGCCCCCCACTACAGAAAGGGCAAATTGGACAAATTGTAGAGAGTCCAGCGGAGGGCAACGAAAATGATTAGGGGGCTGGGGCACAAGACTTATGAGGAGAGGCTGAGGGAACTGGGCTCATTTAGTCTGCAGAAGAGAAGAGTGAGGGGAGATTTGATAGCAGCCTTCAACTATCTGAAGGGGGGTTCCAAAAAGGATGGAGCTAGGCAGATGACCGAACAAGGAGCAATGGTCTCAAGTTGCAGTGGGGGAGGTCTAGGTTGGATATTAGGAAAAACTATTTCACTAGGAGGGTGGTGAAGCACTGGAATGGGTTACCTAGGGAAGTAGTGGACTCTCCATCCTTAGAGGTATTTAAGGCCCTGGCTGGGAAGATTTAGTTGGGGTTGGTCCAGGGGGTTGAGCAGGGGGTTGGACTAGATGACCTCCTGAGGTCTCTTCCAAACCTTATCTTCTATGATTCTATGAAAACTTTGTAAAATGAGGGGAATACTAAATAACCTGCAGATACATCAGTATTCAGTGCAGTGTTGTACCATTCATGTTTTTAAGAGTGATAACACTTAAATGCAATCAGGGCTGCTCAGGGGGCAAGGAGGATAGGGAAAGGGGCAGTTTGTCCAGGGCCCTCTATTTCAGAGGACTCCCGAACCTGACTGACAGTGTGACCTGGCACATGGGGTCGCAGCGCCACTCATGGAAATTTGGCAGCTGGGCTAAGCCTGAGAAGCGCTGCAAGCCTATCCATCAGGTTGCAATGCCAGGAGTGGGGAGCCAGGCCTAGCCCCACGAGACAGGAGCTGAGCCACCACTGCAAACTGTGTGCGGTGTGGTCTTGCTTTCCAATCCACCTCCCGCCCTTCCCCGGGGCTTCCCCTCAGTGGTTCTATTTAGGAAGGGTGGGAGCAATCAGTTCCAGATTTTGCCATAGGCCCCCCAAACCCTCTGTGCATCCCTGATTGCAATTAACAGCAAGTGCAATTCATTAATGTCTAAAGATAAATCCAAAAACGGATATTAAAATTATAGTGTAGCAGTGCTGAGTGACCCAACAGAGATTACTCTCCCAGGCCATGAGTGGACCAAGGCATTTCACGTAAGCCAGTTTCATAAATTTGTGAGCTCTGATACTGTAATCTGAGCCATATGGGCAGACCTCCCTGTAGAGTTCCACCAGACAGGTCCAACTGCAGGATTGAAGCTATGGCCTCCAAAATTGGGGTCCACTGTAAATTACGAAGGGCCATACGTGGAACTACAACCATAGATAAATACATCTGTCAGAAAAATACATACAGTGGAGACTCAAAAGAGTCCTTGAACTTTTTTGATCTTCTGCTTCAAAGTTTTCTGTATTATGTACATGAATGGGACCATAAAGAGTACATTGTCTTTACACGGCAGTAATTTACACAACTGTATATCTAGCGATTAATTCATTTGTTTACCTGACCAATTAAGCTGGAGAACACAAAGACACCCGTGAAAAAATTCAGTAGCTGAAAGATTATCTCAAAGAGGGTTTGCGGTTCCGCAAGACCACCAATGGTAATTAAAGTGCGCACTGCCCAGTAGTAACACCTCAGATACCTGGGGATACACACAGCAAACATTTTATTGACTTCAATGGGACTATTCACATATTTAAAGTTATGCATGTGTTTTGCTAGCTTAAGTCCAGGGGGCTCAGCATCTTCCAGAAACAAGCCCTGTGACGCCTTTCAGCTTAAAAGCTCTCTAAGGCTTTACAAATAATTGCCCAGTCCTACAAACTCTTAATAATGGGAGCACACCCAATAAAGCCCCAAATTAGGTGCATACAGAAAATACAGCAGCTACTTACCAGTGCCCAGTAATTCTATATGACAGTTTAGGACAATAGCTACTTGAAACTGCCAGGGAGGATTTTAGGCAGGCAGAATGCAGTTATCCTTGATGTAAATACCATGGTGATAAGGGCACGATTAAAACCTTGCTAAATAGATTGAAGTCAGGTCTACACTAGCAGCACGTTGCATGTATAACTACACTGGTAAACTAAATTAGCAAAGCACTCCTACTGTGGACGCAGCTTATACCAGCAAAACTGCACTTTTGCTGGCCCAGTTTAGTTTAGCTTTCCTCCCGCTGAGTGAAATAAGTTATATCAGTGTCACATTCCGATGTGCAACCCAGACACAGGGGAGCTGTGTCACCAACTGCCTTGCAACCTTGGACCTCTCACAAACAGCATGCAAGTCATACTGTAAGGGTCTATGTATTGCTGTAGCCTTCGAGCAGCACTCCAGTCACACTCTGGCTTCCACCAGCCTTGGCTACCACTTGCAAGGTGGCCCCAACACACTCCCAGTCCTGAATTTTCTCCAAAACTGTCCAGCCCTCTAAATGGGCTGTTCTGATATTAAAGGTCCATTGCCCCTGAAAGGGGTCAATATTCAACAGTTTGCTATTTCAACTGGAGTACCCAAACATTTCAGTTTAAACACAACACTGGATTAGTTTTGATTAAAAAATAAAACAGGTTTATATAACTACAAAGAGATTTTAAGTGAGTACAGGTATAAGGTATTAAAGTCAGAAATGGTTAAAGGTGAACTGAAGATAAAACACTTTCTAGTAGCTACAAGTTGACTTGGTTCAAGCTAAAATCCTTATCACATGTTCTCTGCAACATTGCTGACCAAATTCTCAAGTCCGCATGTGCCACCAAATTCAAAGGGCTGGTTCCTTTGTCTTCTTAGGTGAGAGAGGGAGAGAAAAGGGGGAGTTTTTGCCTCTCACTTTTATAGTTCTATCTCCCTTTGAAATGCATTTTTCTGAGGTTACCCCTACATAAAGTTCCTTCCTCTGTGAGGATGGAGACAAGGAGTCTTGTGGTGAAAGAAGTTCCATGTTGTTGTTTACTAAAATGCAGCTCAATCTGTTCCTGCCCCGCTTTGTTGCCAAAGAACGGCCACTTGACCAGTAATTGCCAATCAACTTTGATGACACCTGGCTAGAGGCATCAGCTTGTCTTTTGTCTTTGAGAAACAGGTTTAACCCTCCCCAGACTTGTCTGATAAACACATTTCAGTCATAATTTCAGCTTATGCTCAAATCATTATATATAATGTGGCTACACACATTTCACCATATTATAGACCCATGAGTTATTAGTTCTCAAATGATATCTCACAAGGCATATTTTGCACAAAGATTATTACAATAGCGTGTAGGGTGTGAATACAGGGGTGCATTCAGTCACAACCAGCAAAAGTGCAGTTTTGCTATTTTAACTATGTTTATGTGAGCAGCTTTTTGCCACCACAGCTATGTCAGTGATAAATTGCACCTCATCACAGCCTGGCTGACATAGCTATGTCAGCAAAAGTTTGAAGTATAGACCTGGCCTGAGATTAGAAATTAGCTAAAACACCAGTGCTAACTCCCTCACTTTTGCCAAAAGTGCATTGGGATGTTTAAGAATCACAGCAGAACATTAACTCTGTTTTAAATGACATTTGAAAGATGGCACTGCAAATAGCACTACATCATCCTAATACTAAAATGGGATTAATTAGTTTTTTAAACCAGTTCATTGTTTTAGTGAAAGTGATAGTGTTCCTTGCTCTTATGAGCTAAGGTATTTTTAAAGAGGTAATTGAGTCTTTAAAAAATACTTTTCATCCCTAGTAAAATCACTAATTAATATTTATAATGGAGCATTCTGAATGCCTTGACAATTAAATTTTAGATCCTTTTCAGATTATTAGAGTTGTTCGTTTTCCCTAACTGTACAATAAACTCTTCAATTTTGCGTATGATTGCATTTTACATACTTTTTTTTAAAGATTTATTAACATTTTCTTAAATTTAGAAAGAAACTTAATAGGCAGTACAAATAACTTGAGGTCTCAATCCTGAAAATAGATGCTCCAGTGCATATCCTTTCTGTCTGCCTTGAGTCCTGAAACCACTGACCTGTTTGCAGGATTGCGACCTAAGTTTTAATTTACTCTTATCACATATATCCTTAGAGGGGTAATGCCATTAATATACTGTATAGATGACCGTACAATTTGAGATCTATGAAGTGGTAGTTTTTTATATAAATTCTGTGACAGCTGAATGAAGGGCTACTTCCAACAGGCAATTCCCTGTTTTAAACCACTTGATATACCTAATGTTTTCAGTATGCTTTTATTTGACCTTTTAGTTAAAGGGCAACCTGTGATAAGCAATTGATTTTTTGCTGATCCCTTGGGTGGTCACGTTAGGCTGGCTTCACTATAATGTGATTTAGTAATTATCACTTTTACCACAATTATCCACTTGCAGACTTTAACAGCTAGAATTGTCATTTTTCATTAACAATTCTGACACTGAAAATGCACTGCAGATCTGTTAACACTTGAAACTAATCCCGTCCCTTGTCCCCTCTCCCCAATATTGTAGTTATAACATGGACATCTAGATTAAACCCCTGTATTGTTCACAGAGTTCCACAAATTCAGCATCCTTCCAGCAAAGTCTGTGTAACCCACATCTAGTGGCACCAAGACCACTTAGGGAGAGATAAAATGAGTCTGCTCTGCAGCCTTAGCGAATAGCCAGTTGGCTTTTAGCTCATGCGGTAGAGGCTCATGCACTAAGCTCCAGAGGTCCCTGGTTCAATCCCAGCAACAACCAGGGTCTGTCAGTGCTACAAATGGGGGCTCGTCCAGGATTTCAACTGGGAAGTCTCTGAAGCTCTGGATGCACTTCCTCAGCTAGAGGAAGTATGTAACCCACACACCTTCTGGGTGTGGTGTTCTGTCCCATCTAGTGGAACTGAAACCACTTAGACAGAGAGATAAAATGAGTTTGCTTTACAGCCTTAACTAACAGCCAGTTGGCTTTTAGCTCATGCTGTAGAGGTTCATGCACTAAGCTCTAGAGGTCCCCGGTTTGATGCTGGTGACCGGGGTCTGTCGGCGTACATCTGCACAACTAGTAGCTCTGTTTCCCATGGGTCTGTGGTCAGGTAAATGTAAATAGTGAGGAAAGGTTATGTTTCTGTTTTGCACGTATCACAGCTTTTAGGGTGAAAGGACATTCCTAGCTCATTTGGAACGCCATAAGGAGTAGGTTAGTTAATGCCTAAAAAGATATCCTGTCTTCACTGGACATAACTGAGAATACTGTGCTGGTCCTGAGCTACAGCCTTAAGAACTTAAAAGTAATAAAGGAAACGGTGCTACTTCTGAACAAGTGGCCTCGGAAATTCAGAGTGGGTAAGATGTAGCATTGGCTTTTGGCGGTAGCACCAATGACTTCAGCATGATAGAGATTATAACACTGATTCTGGTCTATGTCTCTGAGGATGTCTGGAAAACAGATGATACAGTGTGAGTGCTATATAGATAACAGCCTGAGGAACTTCAGGGGTTGGTCTAATACTGTGTATGTATCTACTTGAAAAGCAAGTGTATGTCTTAAAAAAAATCTGTTCATTACTAGCAATACGTTTAGTGCAGTGCATACAGTACTTCTGTGGTCTCAGTTCACACAGATACTTTTTACAGCATGAGTCATATGCTGCTCACTATATGTCAGACACAGGTTTTATGTTTTCCCCATTTATTCAGTTTATTGTTTTTCCTTTAATCTGAACTAAGAGTTCAGAAATATAAGGTCACTCTGCCAAGAAAAAAAAAGGAAAAAAGAAAAAAGAAGAAGAAAATGTAAAAACAAGGAGCCAAAAAAGATAGATTCCAAATGCTATGGTATTAGCAGCTCTGCTTCCTGCTAGCTAATTATATCTTGAAATCATCACTGCTTGTCAAACAGCAAACTGGATAGCTGAAAAAATTAATGTTAAAACAAAGTAGAGACAAGAGTGGGATTTTCCCTTTACATAATATAGACAGTATGTTTAGCCCTCAGGCAATCAAACCATCAGATTTTTCCCTAAAATACGGAACACAAGTAAAAACAATCATAAACAATGCAAACAAGATAACTCTATGCAAATGGGAATATTTCTCTTTCATAAAAATTCATTTCAGAATACAACAAACTGTTTGCATGGCTTTGGTTAAAATAATCAAACTTTGATGTGTATGAAGGATAGCATAACTGAAAATGGTCTTCAAGTTTTAAGCTGGTACTTGTGCATCCATTTCATTCAAGAAGACTTAGGTCTTCCATATTAGAGTCCTCCAAAAATACAACCCAGACAAAGTAAGGATAGTAAAGTGGTGGGTAAGTTCTGGCCTTCTAATGTCTCCAATCCTGAAACTTCTTTCCCTTAAATTGCTTTTTGTCTGTTGACCAATAGCTTACTGACCTCAGCCACTAAACAGGTGTGATATATACATTTAAATAAAAAAAGGAAAAAGCAGAAAGCCCATGAAAGTCAAGTTCTCAGACTGAAGGACAAAGCTGAACTAGCTAGAGGACATAGGAGTTGCAATAATGCAACAGGACTATCCTCCTACAAGCAGCTCTGAGGGCAACACCCACAAGAAGGAAAAAAACCTGGTCACATTTGACTTAATAGGCTGAAAATCTAAGCTGTGTGCCAAACAACACTCTAACTAATCTGATTGCAAATGCTAACATAGACCATC